ATTTTGAAGGGAAAGACTAAGGGAGAGGTCGTCAAGAGCAGCCTGAGTGGTGGCAGAGATAATGTCAATAAAATTGATTTTTTAATATAAAAGTATCAGAGATACATAAAGGATTAATATAAGACACACAAAGGCCTCAGCAAGATCCCAGGACCTTCTTTCTCTGACTTTGCCCGGCAACTCCTGCCTCCTTTCTTCTCTGACTTCGGGATTACAGTAGGGGAATGCTCTGTTGTGTCATCTGTAGCAAAACTGCAGGCAATGGAAGGCAGGAAGAAAGAACACCGTCACAGGAAAGAGGTGGTACAAAATGGTGGAAAGGAGAATAGTGACAGTGTCTGATGCACTTTCTCACCTGGCCTTTGCTCAAATGTCACCTTAGTAGGGGTTTCCTGATCTATTTGAAATAACAACTCATTCCTCAACTTCTCTTTACTCACGGCCTGTGCTTTATTTTTTCTGTAACATTTATCATCACCTAACATACTATGCTTTTCATGTATTTATATTGCTTGTTGTCTTTTTCTTCCCATCAGAGTAAAAGCTCCTTGAGGATGGGGACTTTTGACAATTTGAACAGTGCATGGTTCATTTAGGTGCTCAATATTTGTGGACTAAATAAATGAATGACTATGTAATTTCCTTCTGTTGGCTCTTGCTTTATTTCTACAGATTTGAAAAAATTTAAAAAGGGAGGATATAGGCAAAAGATAGTAGAGAAAAAAAATTTCTTCCCTGGTCCTGAGGAAATTAAAACAGAAGAGCAAAATATCCAATAATATGAACTCTACTTACACCGAGCTGTTTTTATTTTGTTTTTACCCCAAAACAAACATCAGAACATATAATCTTGCACATCTATGGATATTTATGGAAATGACAGGACGAATATTTGGAATCATGATTATTCCTGGAAAATATGGGCTGCAGCATTAATATGATTATAAGGGTTGTTGGGAGCTCTCCCATGGGCTTAGCGGTTAACCCCAGAGATAGTTGTAGGCCCAAGTAGTTTTAGTTTTTTTTCTGGAAGCAACATCCAGGAATTTCGCTTACTCTCCTCCCTGACAGCACTCATACTTTCTGAGGGAAGCCAAAACTAATAAGTGATTAAGCTGGAGATCAAGCCCAGGTCTCTTTGAATTCTTTCCATAGTGCTGTGGAAGGAAACATAATTAGAGGTGGAAAGAGAAAATGGGAGAAAACAAGGAAAGATCTGAAGTCCTTGGGCACCTAGTAGTCTATGAATAGGCTCTAAGAGATTGATGAACCCTTTAAAATTAGACATAATTTTTATGTGCATTTTTTCCTGAGGGTTCATAGCGTCATCAGATTTTCAAAGAGGTCTGTGATTAAAGGTTTTGAACAAGCCACTGGGCCATGGAGTTTGTAGTATGTTCTGATGAAGCATTTTTTAATGGATTTTTTTCCCTTAAAATAGGGAAAGAGAGAACAAAGCTTTACCTGACCCAAATAGCTTGTAAAAGTCTGGTTATGGGCAAAATGGTGAAAAGAATTGACTTTCTCAGCTGTTTCTATGAAAGCAGAAGGAGTTATGGATATTCAGTCTCTGTCAATAGACATAGTTGCTGCAAACCAAATCTAGGCTGCCTCCTGTTTTTGTTAATAAAGCTTTATGTGGACACAGCCACCCCCATCATTTATATATTGTCTATGGCTGCTTGTAGTTACAAGGGCAGGGTTGTGTTGCTGCAGGGATCCTATAGTCCCCAAAAGCCTAAAATATTTGCTATCTGGGCTTTTTACAGAAAATGTTTGTCAATCCTGGTCTAGAGTCTCAGTGTCTGAAGGAAACTTGAAATGGCATATAGTGATTTTTATAGATACCTTATTTCAGAACTTTTATTTTTCATATGCCCATGAATATTGGCAATCTATGTGTACACGCTGGCCACAATTTGTAAACAAAGAACCAAATTATGCCCTGTGAGAAAAACTTAACTTTGATTTCATGTGTTGGTAATTTGAGAAATATGTATATGCATATTTAACTAAAGTTTAATTTTGGCCCATGTACCATAATACATTTCCATTTGAAACTTACAAATTAAGCATTTTAAAATTTGATTAAAAAAATATCTTAAAGACATGCATTAAGAAAACAAATTGAAGGGTAAACTGAACTTTGATAATATAAGGATGTCTAATAAATTAGTAAGAAAAATGCTTAAGTGCAGTAAGTTGTATGTTACTGCATAACAAATTATCCTAAAAGCTAGTGGCTTAAAATAATAATCATTTATTATGTCTAGAGAACATTTTTGTACCTTAAAAACTATTGAGGTAGAACAGTTCAAATTGGTTAACTCACTAGGAAAGAATAATTTTTCTGGCAGCAATTGCATTAAAAATAGTATCTCTTCCTACTGTGTTTTGAACTTAATCATTGTCAGCTGTAATTTTCTCCACAAATTCTCCACTCTCACAGACAATTTTCATTCACATAGTACTGTATATTTGAGCAGTGTTTTACCAAATATTTTCACATGTATATGATTTCAAAAAACTGCGAAACTGGCAAGGTAGGAATTACCATTATTATTATTTTTGTGTCGGAGTTTCATTCTGTCACCCAGGCTGGAGTGCAGTGGCATGTTCCCAGTCACAGCAGCCTCACCTGCTGGGCTCAGACAACACTTCCACCTCAGCCTTCCAAGTAGCTGGAACTACAGGCGTGCACCACCATGCCCAGCTAATTTTTTAGTTTATTGTAGAGACGAGTTCTCACCATGTTGCCTTGGCTGGTCTTGAACCTGTGAGTTCAGGCAGTCCTCTCACCTCGGCCTCCCAAAGTGTTAGGATTACAGGCGTGAGCCACTACACCCAGCAGGAATTATTAATAAGCATCATCTTTTTCTTTGTTTTTAAGTGTAAAAGTTGAGGCCTGGGGACCTGAAAGTGACCCTTCCTGGTTACTTGGTTAATTAATGACAGAGCCAGGGCTAGGATCCTACCGTTGTTAGCAATGGGAATCACTGTATTTGTTTTTTGTTATGGAAATATGCATTAGAAATATTTCACAGAGAGTGAAGAATGTTAATTTGTATTCATCCATAAGATAAGGATAATATTATTAATTTTCAGCCGGGCACAGCGGTTTAGCCTGTAATCCCAGCACTTTGGGAGGCCGAGGCGAGAGGATTGCCTGAGCCTGGAGTTTGAGACCAGCCTGGGCAGCTTGGTGAGACCTCATCTCTATAATAAATCACAAAAACTAGCTGGGCTTGGTGGTGTGTGTCTGTAGTTCCACCTTCTTGGAAGGCTGAGGTGGAAGGATTGCTTAAGCATGGCAGGCCAAAGCTGCGGTGGTAGTGAGTGTGCCACTGCACTCCAGCCTGGGCAACAAGAGTGAGACTCCAACTCAAAAAAAAAAAAATTAATCATTTTGTAGGATTGTTGTAAGAATTATGGATTAAGTATGAATCTGCTGAGTACCTGGAGCTGAATAAGTGCTTTGCAAATGATGGCTACCATTATACTTTTCCCAAAAGTATGAGATTATGTGATTATTTTGATATTAAAAAAACTAGAAGAAAGTATCAATATACAATTCTTAAACTTTCTTTTGTAAAACAAGTTATAAGCCATGATCTTTCTGCTGTGATTGTAGTTTTCTTTATTACCCAAATGAGCTAACCATCCTCTAGCAATTCATTCTTTGGTTTGCTTAACCATGCAGAGGTATCTCTGAACTAAAAAAACTGCGTATCAAATGCAAATACAATGCAGCTTTAGAGTTCATGTTGCACTTTTTCTGTTTATTGTAGTGATATCATTTACTCTGATAAATCCACATCCCAATTAAAAATGCCCCAAAGCAAATACAGTAAAACTTTGTTATAAATTCAAGTACTGTATTTTAAAATGTACATGTTGTACACACAATAGATGCATAGTGGAATTACTATAGCAAGCAGTTACATTCATGATGCCCAGTATTATGTTTTTAACACTGCAATAGATTAAGATAGATATATCGCTTTATCATGATCACTGATACTTAGTATAACTTTAGTACAACAGCTTATATGATTGCATTTTTAAAGCTTTGATAAAGTTAGTAGCATTTAACAATATCAAATGAAACATTTTTATGGTATGGGATGTATTTTAGGTCAGATGCTTATGCAAGAATAAGCACTTAACATGCTGTTATATCCTTGACAAAACAAAATCATCCCTTTTTGCTGAATAGAATAAGCCAGACTAAAGGAATCTGAAGCAATTGAGAGAAAATTTTAAATTTTATATCCCTGTATTATGTAGCGATTACTCAACATAATCTTGTCCTGGTTAAATCATACGTTTTTCATATATATATATGTATATGTGTGTATATATATATACACACACATATATATACATATACATATATATGTGTGTGTATATATACATATACATATATATGTATATGTATATATATATGAGAGAGATTGATTTTAAAGGCTGTACTAAAATGCTAACACAGCTATAGCCCTTAGATGATACTTTAGCTGGGAGAAAATGTGGTGAGTTATACTCAACCATTTTTTTTTCTGCTTAGAAAAAAATTAATAGCCTATAAATTTCTAATGTCTTAAAACAGGTATTTATTAAGGTCTTAAAATAAATATACCTGTATTAAACAAGTTAGGTTGTTTTTAAAAACTTTGCAACAATACTTCACTTATTCACAAATATATTTTCTATCCATGTTAATTACAGTTTGAACAGTTTAAAAACAAATCCTGGAAATATTCTTAGCTTGGATAACAACACTGTTATCTTAGTTCACATAAATGATTGCAATAAATATCTGTAATACTTCATATAGTATCTTATCTAAGGCTCACAGTAAACACTCTAATCACATTTAATTTTACAGATGGAAAAATTAGAATGGGAAGAGGTTGGGAAACTGTTCTAACAACTACCTTTCCAATTTGCTTTTCATGCGTTATTTGTGCAGCTGGCCTTCTGGGTTTTTTTTTTTTTTTGGTTGGGGAAAACAACCTTTAAGATTTTTGAGTAAAGTAACTCTTTGGAAATCAGATACCGATTAAAAAATTCAGATATATGTAGATCAACTTTAATCATCAAATTAGCCTTGGGGGTGTGTTCTATAGTTTGCTTAGAATTTCTCATGGAAAAGAACTTTTCATATTTTTCTTAGTCTATAAATAATTGTCTCAAAAGCAAAAACCCTGGTTATGTGAATAGTGAATCCCCCTTTGAAAACTTGTTTATAATTGCTGTCTTTTTAAAGTATAACAAACATTTTAGGTTTAACCAATCATGGAATAGTCGCAAATAGCACAATGTGACTCTTAATATAATACAATCTTATTCACAAACTATTCTTTTTTCCTTAGAGTATTCAGCCATTGAGTGAAATTACAAAGACTTAAGTAAACCATCTTAGTGCTTACTGTCTCTGATAAAATTTCAAGGGAAAAAGAAGACTGTTTGGAGAATAAATAAAACAGAAATATTGAATTTCTGATTTTATTTTTAAACTCCCCCTTCAAAAAATATATGTCCATAATTGGATTAAGAAAAACTTTGTCCCTTACTGTTTTTTCCTGAAGAGAACCACACATTTATCATAACATTTTTCCATACATACTTAATAACTTACATTTTGGGACAGAGGGGGTCAGCACGGCCCACCTTGGTCCATCCGAATGTTATTTTCAGATCAAGTCAAGTACTATCTTTGGATTAATTAGCTGCTGATGGAGGTTTGATAGAGGGGATACTGCATGATCTTCTCATGATAAGCCTAACTTCTATATCTGGTAGATTATCTTGCTTAGTCTGTAAACACCCTTCATCTGTGGCTGCTAAATGAAGGTCAAATCGCAGAGAAACAGATTTTTTCCTTAATCGAGGATTATCTTTAAAGAAGGAACCTTCCCATTCTTTAATAACTTCATCCACTTTCTCTGTCCTGAAATGACAAAATAAACCTTTTTATATGAAGTAGTATGGGTTTACTATAAATATGTAATAGTATTTCATATCTATGAAAAAAATCAATAAATTTATATAATTTGTAGTTAGTGGAATTTATAATGTGCATATTTAAAATAATCATATGGATATAATTTCTAAGGAATTCTATGGAATTTCTCTGTAGGAATTCTCATGTTTTGATTGTATTTATAGAAAAAAAAGGTGAATTAAGGATTGAGTACTCTTCCATATGAATGTTAGATATTTATGTTCAATTAAAAATCTAAGTATATTAAAACTATGTCTGAAACATTCAAACAAAGAAGAGTAATGACTGGTATTACTCAACTGAAGTTAAAAATGTTTTTTTACATTTGCTTATTATTTCTTAGTTACTTTACTTACTGAATAGTGCCATGGGCTTCAGTGCTCTCCTTCACAATATTTCCATTTAATATTGCCTGCTTAGTCATTGTTTCCACTTTTTCATTCTCATAATTTTGTGGGACTTTCGTTGAAAAAGATATTTCATTTATAATGGCTGTGAAAATGTTATTTATGACATATTAAGTTACAACATTAAAGTACTATTCACAGTCAAATTATATGTCAAACTTTTATTCAAATATTGCTTGTTTTTTGTTACTTAATTTCTTTTTATATTTTTGAGTTGGAGTCTCACTCTCACCCAGGCTGGAGTGCAGCCTCAACCTTCTGGGCTCAGGCAGAAGTAGCTGGGACTCCAGGTGTACACCACCATGCCTGACTAATTTTTTTAGTCTAATTTTTTTTAGACTAATTTTTTTTTTAGAGATGAGGTCTTGCTATGTTGCCCCAGGCCAGTCTTGAACTCCTAGGCTTAAGTAATCCTCCCGCCTCAGCCTCCCAAAGTGTAGGAATTGTAGGCCTGAGCCATCACGCCTGGACTTTTGCTACTTTAGAGTATTTAATTTCCTTATACAGCAATCTCTGTAAATGGTACTTCACTTTTCGATTAGTTTATTTATATCAGAAACTCACCTGATGGCAAAACAAAACCAACTCTACTTGTGGTAGGTTTTTGGTCTTTTTTCCCACCTTGGATACAACCATAATATCTGAAATTGGAAAGAATTATATTATGGAAGCAACACTGTATTAGCAAATAATTGAAACAAGCAGGAGAGTGGATACATTACACATTCATATAATAGAAACACTATTTAGCATGAAAAGAAATGAACTAAATTTATACTGTATCTTTATGGATGAATCGTCTAAGCCATAACATTGAATGAAAATAGTTGCTGCTAATTTTATAAAGGTTAACATAACATGCCAAACACTTTCATACCTCATTTAGAAATACATACATATTACTATAAAGGAACGCATGAGACTAATGAGCAACAAATTCAGAAGCCAGGTTAGGTGGGTGGGGAGGATTTGGTAGTGGGGTGAAGGGATAAGGGGGTGAGAGAGGGTGGGGATGTGGTTTAGGTGCCTAGGGAACTTCAACAGCATTGGAAGTATTTTACTCTTTTTATGGAAACATTTTATTTCTTAAACTGGGTTAAGTGGTTACATGGGTGGTCATTATAGTTTTCTTTTTGTATATTTCACAATTTTCTTTTATATCTTAAATGTAGCATAATAAAAATTCAAAAAGTCATATAATAGAACTATTGAAGACAATTTTATCAATATCTTGAATGATTAGAAAATACATAAAATGTATAATCATTTATTTTTGTTAGCTAAAATAAATGGTTATAAATTTTATACATGTATATTCATAGACATATATATATATATTTACATAACACAATGTGCCAAGTATTGTTTTAAGCACTTTACAAACATTAACTCGGCCAGGCTTGGTGGCTCAGCCTGTAATCCCAGCACTTTGGGAGGCCGAGGCGAGAGGATTATCTGAGCCCGGGGGTTTGAGACCAGCCTGGGCAACTTGGTGAGACCTTGTCTCTACAATAAATCTCACACACACACACACACACACACACACACACACACACACACACACACACACACAATTAGCCAGGCATGTTGGTGTGCATTTGTGGTTCCAGCTACTTAGAAGGCTGAGGTGGAAGGATTGCCTAAGGTCAGCGGATCGAGGCTGTGGTGGCCATGAGCATGCCACTGCACTCCAGCCTGAGTGACAGATTGAGACTCCAACTCAAAAAAAAAAAAAAAGAAAAGAAAAGGAAAAAAATAACACACACAAAAAAATCAACCAACCAAACAAAAAAGCCAAAACACACACACAAAAAACATTAACTCATTTAATCCTCACAGCAATCCTATGAGGTAGGTAATATCCATTTTACAGATGAGAATACTGAGGCACAGAGAGGCTATATAACTTGCCCAAGGTCACTCAGCTAATAAGTGGCATATTTTTAATTCCATTTATGTTTTCCCAATATTTAGTAAATGTCAAGACTTATGGTCTAAGATTATTTCATCTAGTTTTGTAGGGGACTCAGAATTCTGAAACAAGAATAAAAACAAAGGTTTTATTTCTTTTGGGAACATGGAGAATTGGAGGTTGTGTCATATCCAAAGCTATGTGACCTTACAAGTGATTATAGATTATGATGTTGTGTGAATTAATAATAAATCTTTTTTTGGTGTTTATCCGGACATCTGAAAGTCTTATAATCATGACTCAGAGAACAATATTGCTTTCCATGGTTGTAATATAATCACATTACTATTATTTTGGTGTTTGATGAGTGGCATGGGGTGGGCCCTTTGGGCAGGGATTGTAGTGATGCAGCATGAGAATTTTCCAAGCTATCTCTGTGGTGGTCCTTAGAGGACACCGACTAACCTAAAAGATAAATGATGAGGAAAGTGAGAAAGGTAAGGAGTGTCATTTTTGTGGTGGTGCTCCAGAATTGTTTCACTTTGTTCTAGCTGACTCTGTAATGGCTGACTTTGGCTAACCGGTTCCTAATTTTGGAAGGCTGGAAGCAGTTCTTCCGCGAATTTCTTGCGGTGGGTACTCACCCTGTCTTATTGTACGAGTTCAGTGAGCACGCCATGGCAATGACGGCTTTTTAGATGTAATTTCTCTGACTACATTGACAACGGCTCTGCATTTCTGGCCCCTTGCCATTATCTACATGGAACTGGGTACCTGATTTCTTCTTTTTCTAGGAGGCGGCGGTAAGTGGCGATTTCTTGCTCCAGCCTCATTTTGGTGTTGAGAAGCATCTCGTGCTCTTGGAGTTGCCTTTCGATGCCACGCCTCACTTCCTGCAGCTCGTGCTCCAGGCCCTCTATCACAGCCTCCAGGTCTTGCAGCTGCATCTGGTAATGCTGCTCACTGGCGTGCAGGGAGTTTTCAAGGCCCCTCTCCTGTATTATAGATACATCTTTTGTCAGTGAATCAATAACGCAAAATGTGTTTCTGAAACCTGATTTGCAAAGTCTTCCTTCTGTTGTGTTCCATTCCTTCTTAAACAAGTTTACGGTAATTGTATTTCGTGTGTGCAAAAGGTGTGTTACCTTACAGCTTTGTGTGTGACCACCCCCCATTTTTAATTTATATTTTACAGATGTAACTAGAGAGAGTTTACTATATTTCGAAGAAATCTTGTGATAATTCCTATGGCAAAAACAAAACAAAACAAAATAAAACCTCTGCAGTATGATTAACTTATTATCACTCTGGATATTTGATTTTTAAAAAATATTTAAAATATAGTATATTGAATATCAAAGCCAGAGCAGACTGCTCATAAAAGGCATTTTAGGAATGTGCTTAAATATTTTTCTATTACAGTTTCAATGTCGTGGATAAGAGTCCCCACCGCAAAGACTGAATAGTAACAAACACTCTCTTCCCCCACTTTAACAACTGGCGAACCTCAAACTGATGTGCAAGTATTACTTTACTTCTATATGTATGAAATAAACTTCCAGCAAGCTGATGCCAGCCACTGCTGTGATGGAGGGAGGGAGGTAGGTAATTGAACTAGGGTCTGGGATAGAATTCAGCGGCCTTGACCTTCAGTTTCTCACTGTAAAGGAATGTACATGGCTCCTCTCCCTCTTTTAATCAGATGACATCTGGGGACTCTGTAGGCTGGGGGCTTTTGAGATCACGCTCACCACAGCATGCAGAGATTCAATTTCCACTTGCAGGTGGTACCACTGGCGTCGGGCTTCCTTGAGTTCTGCTTGAGCTGCCTTTAAATCCTCCTCATCTTTGTCCATTTTTTTGCTTATGTCTTCTTCTAGCTACAAGAAAGCCAGCAACAATGACAGACAAAACAAAGAACGCTTTTGAAAGATGTTTAAAAGCAATGAAAGAAAAACTGCATAGGAATCAAGTCATTTCCCTTAGTTGTTGGGTTACCAGTGTGTGTCCTAGGACCTAATTCCTAATTAATGAAACATGTGAGCAAGTCAATTGCATTCTCAGCCTCAGTTTTCTCCAATGTAATCTATGAAATATGGAAAAATACATCTAATTAAAACAAAACAGCACAGTTTGCAGGACCTACATTTGTGACCTCTGTTTCTTAACCTTCCAATCTTCATAGATCAGTAAGGAAGAAGGATGAATATTTGCTGCTCTTTCCCCCTATTGTAGGCTGCTTCTCAGAAGCAGATCATCAGTTGTATATCCCAAACTGACCAATTGTGGGACCAGGAGTATGGACAGTAAGTACTGCTAGAAAGTTATACTACTAGTAATTTATTTATTTATTTATTGAGCCGGGGTCTCACTCTGTTGCTCAGGCTAGAGTGCAGTGGCACCATCATGGCTCACTGCAGCCTCCACCTCCTGGGCTCAGGCGATCCTTCCGCCTCAGCCTCCCAAGTACCTGGGCCTACAGGTGTGTGCCGACATGCCCAGCTAATGTAAGAAGTCTGGACACATTTTTGGAGAGATCATGTAGACAGACCACAGGGAGAGAGATCCTGGGGCTACATGAAGTGAGAGGGGAACAGGCCCAACTGTCCTAGGCTTCCAGCCGTCCCCAGCCAAGGCGCCAGACACATGGGTGAGACACCTTGGATGTTCCAGCCCAGTCATACCCCAAGATGCCTGAGATTCCAGTGGTATCTTGTGTTGCAGAAGCATTTCTCCCACTGAGCCTAGTCAGCTTGCAGGATCACGAGAGAATATAATGGTTATTTTAATCTACTAAATTTTGGGGCGGTTTGGTATATAGCAATCTATAACTAAAACAGCTTATTTTTTAAAATTTTGTAATAATTAAGAAATCAGGTTTTCTTGAATTTATTTCAGCTGATTTTCTGAATTATTTGGGAAAAAATCCTCTAAAGTAGTTTTAAGTTAAAAAAAATTTTAAACAAAATGTAGTCATGCTTTTTCATTTGAATGTACTCGTTTCGACATCGTGACTCGTAGACTAAACCTGTATTTCTACTATTGCAAAATAAAGTGTTAGTTTGGTTTATAATTTTCAGAAGTTGTCATCTATTAATGTTTTCCCTTCTCTTTGTAGAAGATAAGTGAAGTATTCTAACACGTAAACATCCTAGTGACTTTGCTTAATGGAGGATACTGATCATTCTTTATGAAGACTGAAAATATTACCCAGAGGTGAAATTTATAGTGTTACTAAAAATGAGTTGCTAATGGAATAAAGCCCTGGGATTTCCTAGCAATATATATATATTTTCTCTTTTGGTGATGTTCGTAAGTAAACTTTTTGCTGTATTTGGATGCTCAGGATAGAACTTGAATCCAGATATGACAGGTAAATTAAAACACCCCTAAATTTCTGAATTTTTGTTTCTAAAATATGTGTTTGTAAATTTGTTTAAAGACTTGAGACCTTAATTTCTCAAGGTATTGTCAGTTCAAAACTAATTCTAAGAAATTTGGATTTAGCCCTTATTTAAGTTGGCTCTCTTTCCCTTTTTAAATGCTTAAAGATGGTAAGCTTTGTAATGGAAATAAACATTTCTCATAGTACAAAAGCAAAAATCTATACTGTAAGTGGAGAATCCTTACCAATTTGGGAAATTTGGATTGCCATAATTTATATCACTGTCTCTGAGTGCCATGTTCACAAACTCAGATCATTTCTATTTATAACAGTCTGGTACAAAACTGAACTCATTAAAAAGATGACCTTTTAGAAATATTTTACTTAGTTTTATCTCCAGAAAGTGTACATGCTAATACATCTTACTTAAAGCTTTTCATTTTAAAGACGTTATTTAAGTTATCTCTATAAATAACTCGTTAATATCCCTGAAGAGTATTTGAAATGCTTCTTTCCTGAAGAATGTCCTGGAGAGGTTAGAGTGCACCATTTTCTTGTCTCCTGGCCCCGCGTTTTACTAATGATAGGGACCTTGTCATTCATAGAAAAACCCAATGCATCCATCCACATTCATTTCATGGTCATGTCATGGCATCATCACAGTATTTCCCCCTGTAGTCCCAGTCCCATCGCAGTAGAATCGAAATTCCTTCCCCACTATATATGCTGCATTGAAAAGGAAATACTGTACCTCAGAGAGGCCGGGACAGGAATTGGGTAGACATGCCTCCTTATTCTGGAAGGTGCCTGTCTGTATGAAATCATTACCTGGATCCTCGCAGACATCACCGTCTCTATCTGATTTCTGGTGAGGAGCTTTTCATAGTTGGCCCTGATCTCATTGAGTAGCTGGGACAGTTCCATTCTTTTCCCATCCTCCACCTTGGCTAGCTGAACCTTATGGAGGCTGAGTCGCTGCCGCAGAGTCTGCTCTGTCTGCGTGGAGGGCAGGAGCCTCCGGGAGCCTTAAAGATGCAGAGCTCCTTTTTCAGGGCCGCGGAAACGCCCGGCTTTCTAATGAATGGTGTAAACCTGCGGCAAAGCCTTCGCGCCTATTGTTAGTACAGCAGGAATGCCAGACTCTCCATGAAAAAAGGAGAATAAAAACATCCTCAGTGTTCCTGCCTCAGATCCTTGTAAACAGGAGCACTTTGGGGCGGATAAGATTCATTTTTGTGGAAAGGAAATGAGGCATAATATCTATCGATCTATCTACCTATCTATCTGAGTCGGAGTCTCACTCTGTCACCCAGGCTGGAAGTGCAGTGGCATGCTCACGGCCACTGCAGCCACGACCTGCTGGGCTCAGGCGATCCTCCTGCCTCAGCCTTCCAAGTAGCTGGGACTATAGCTACCACACCGGGCTAATTTTTAAATTTATTGTAGAGACAAAGTCTCGCCAAGTTGCCCAGGCTGGCCTCGAACCCCTGGACTCAGACAATCCTCTCACCTCGGTCTCTCAAAGGGCTGGGATTACAGGCTTGAGAAACCATGTCTAGCTTAGGGGTAAAATATTTTAAAAATTATTATTTTATTTTCCCAGTATATTGCATGGAAATAAATCTGGGTCCAGAATGTGATAGCTAGAGTTGTCTTTCACAGTTTTTCTCACCACTTGGGTTCTTGAAGCAGAAATGCTGTGGTAGGTAATTAGAATTTGTTGTAGATCTCACATATTCTGACAGTTGTTGGAAAAAACCACCGTCATATCAAGTTGACAACTGTCACTAGCTACAGGACTGACGGTATTTCTCTCAGAAGTTCACTGTCCCACTCCTGGTGGACTGCTGGTCTGGTGGGTTTGGATGTCGGGTGGGAATTCCTGAAGGTCTACACGGATGGAGCTCTAACTAGAAATCAGCGCTAAAGGACTGTGAGTACTGCGAGTGCACATTGCTGGTATTTTAATAGGGTTGAAGAATTAGAGGCATTTGGTCCCTGTGGAGGATATACTCACTGAGGTAAGATTTATTGTGGGAATACAACATTTGTATAGCTCTATTAACTTGTTTTTTTCAGTCAGAGTCTCACTCTGTTGCCCAGGCTGGAGTGCAGTGGTATGATCATAGCCACCGCAGCCTCAACCTGCTGGGTTCAAGTAATCCTGCCTTAAGCCTCCTGAATAACTGGAACTACAGGTGCATGCCACCACACTCAGCTGTGTTTTTTATTTCTTGTAGAGATGAGGTCTTGCCAAGCTGCCCAGGCTAGTCTCAAACCCCTGGGCTCAGGCAATCCTCTCACTTCTGCCTCCCGAAATGTTAGGATTACAGGTATAAGCGACCGTGCCTGGTGCTCCCAAGTATTTCTTTTCAAAAAATTATTATAAAGATGTGGGGTACAATTCAGGGTTAGGTATACAAACGTTGATTAT